CAAAATCGACTTGACCCCGTTTACCGCTTCGCTACTGAATTTTCAATTTTTCTCTGAAGTTTCCTGATTTTTCGGAATTTCCACAGAATAATTGAACTGAAAAATCAAGTATTTTATTGATTTCCAAATCATTTGAACAGAAAATCAATGGAACATTTGATTTTTTAATGACAAGATTTTTTTTAAATTTCAGTGGAACTTGGCGATAAAAATTTCCCGAACTTGGCACAGAAAAATTAGACGAAAATTTTTAATCGCGCACATAATTTTGTACGTCTGCTGAAAATAAGTGGAAAATCGTAACGCAGAAAATTCTGCAGCTTTTCTCGTGGAAAAAATCAATTTAAATTTTTTTGTAGATTTCCATCTTTCCATGGAACTTGTTCTGCTAGGATTTTTCAAATAAAAATTCCTTGGCATGAAGTTTCCAAGATTTTGCTTTTCCGTTTTTTTATGCGAGGCGGTAATAAACATAAAAATTTCAACTAGACAATTTCCAAAAACTGTATAGTTTCACATAAAATTCCCTAGAACTACTCGATGAAATGTAAAAACTGTAGCATCATGAAAATCAAAGGAACTCCTCAACAGAAAAAAAACGAAAAAAGAAACGTGGGATTTGTAATTTCATTGGAGTAATCTCCACGAGTTTGAATTTCCACCGCTCATTAACTTAATCTCCTTCTCCATAATACATCCAGCAATAAATTAACTCCTCACTAGTCTCACCAGTAATTGAAAAATATCGAATTAACGTTTCATTTTTCTTCCGAGCCCAAAGTTTTTTCTCGATACATACACCACTAATAATCGTAAGTATTATTTATTTCCGAGGTCAGTAATCGACGATGTAACGATGCGGGTTACGATATCGCGTGTCTTTACCCAGCGTCGCTAATGTTATATGTACTCGATATGACGATTACGCGTTATCGCTAGACCTCCCTACCTCCGCCGTTTATCGTATCGTGTACGGAAAATTGTCCAATTTCCAATGGATAGCCAAGTGGACTTTACCTGTGAAGTAGAATTTTCTCATAATTCATTCGTAATATGAACTGAAACCCCGAAAAACAACACGTGTGAAAGATTTCAATAGAAAATCCTGCAGTTTTCCAGCGATCGGTCGACAATCATTACATTTGTAATATTATGTAAAATTATTAGAATCTGCCTCTTTCTATACTATAGTTTTATCATCTTACTTGAAATTTGAAAATACTAAAATAATTCATAATTTAAATTTTCTGTTAACTATTGAGTAAATAATTCTAAATTTCATAAAAAGCTTTTTCAATTCAGTAGCGAAGTGGTAAAACGGTACAAGTCAATTTCGACTATTGACCAGTTTTCAATGAATATCTCGAAATCAAAGGGAGATAGCAAAATTTTTGTTATAACCTTTTTTGTAGAGCCGATTGAGTGCTACAACAAATGTAATCACAAAAATTTCGCTATCTCCCATAGATTCGGAAATATTCCTCAAAAACTCAACCGCGAGATGAGTCGACTTAAGCCGCTTTACCACTTCGCTACTGAATTAGAAATGTAATGGTCGAACTTCTGACACGATTACTGGTTGATAGATTATTTCGGAATTTGAATATTCGATTGATGATTAATTTGGTAATTGAAAATTGTTGGGTAATACTATCAGTTAACATAAGCTAAATTTAACTTATTTTGAAATTGATGATTGTTCTGATCCCTGCAGCTTTTTCTAAAAAATTATTTTCAACAGCATAAGAATTCTAGTGAAGTTCGGTTCACATCTTCTTCACGTCAATTGCATTAAAAATTCCGCAATTTACCACGTAATTTTTTGACAGCTGATAAATTTTTATTAGCTTCCCGATAGGGAAGTTACTTTGCTCCAGAAATTCCTGGGCATCAAATTTCCAAGTTTTTTTCCGTTCTTTTTATCGTTTTCTCATAATAAAATGCAAGAAAAAAAAACGTAGTAAATTCGTGTCCACGAAAAATCAATTTCTACAGGTTTTTTCGATCACAAAACATATCTATTGAAAAACGCACGTCAGTGTAGTTTCATTTCCAACAGATTTGACTGAAAAAAAAAATTTTAATATCATTCTAAAAGAACTTCAACAGAATTTCTTTCAGAGAGCGCTAGATTTTTCTATTAAATATTGTCACACGTCACGGAGAGAAAAAATTCTTAAGCGTTCATTTTCATTATACCTGAAGTATTGTGGCCCTGCAGTCCCTTTTTCTGTCGGCATTTCTTTCATAAATATCGCCCACACACGCAGCTGCTAATATTTGCTCGAGAACAATGCAACTGCGGGCTTGGAAATACTCGTGGCAAAGTGGTAAGGCTGAAGGAAGGGAGACGAGCGTTTAACTTGCTGAGGTAATATTTTTCTCTGATACCTGGAAAATGAGCGCCTTATCGTACGACCTCTTTCGACCATTGTCCGTATTCATTCAAGTACTAGACCCTGTGGAAAAATTAGAGACACGTGTCTCTATTGATCCCCTGGTCACTTCCGGATGATGAGGTGATGTCTGGATGGGCAGGAGGGGGGGGGGGGGGATAAGCCGGCAGAATTAATTCCCCTTCGATTACTCGTGTGAGATGACAATTTATTCGATATTAAAGCTGATGATGGCATCTCTAGTCGCTTTAAACAGAAATGTTCAACACTGGGATATTCATCTGCAGTGTATTCACCCCTTTTTCATTGGTTTCTCCCAGCATGAGCATAAAATAACATCTGCAGCTGAGCGATATGTCAAGTTAAATATTTAAAATGGATGGGGAACATGAGTTGATGGGTTTTTTATTCATCGTAATATGGAATAGTTGAAGAATGTTTTTAAATTCAGGGGGAAAAAAATAACAAATTGATGCACAACGAGGTCTATTTACTTATCAGCGAATACGTGGACACTGTCGTTCTTTTTTCTTTCCTTTTTTTTCAGTTTTCTGTAGATAATAAACTAAGGTGGGTAGAGTACCTGGTGGACATTATTATCCATTCAGGGGATATAGCACAACTTCCTTTCCCACGTTTTGCTATCGTTCGGTTATTACCTGTTGGTGGAGCGTCTCTTGGTGGCACGTGAGCATCACCGTCGTTTGATCGAGTGGAATTGAGTGTATTGGAGTTGCCACAGGTGGCTGGTTGAAATTGAATTATAATGCTCTTTTCAGATAACAAATACTGACCCACTTTTTTGATACAATTTGCTACGCTGTTGGAAAAAATGAAATTTCATCTACAGTTGACTAGTAATTTTTATGAGAAGTACAAATCATGAAATTTCAGATTTCCCTGAAAATTCGACAACGTATTTGCTGGGATTCTCCTGGTTTCTGTAAATTGTTATGAAATAGTTAAACTAAATTTTAGAGTTTCCAATGATTTTTCCATAAAAAATGAATTTTTGATGATGAAATTCCTTGAGATTTCAGTGGAACTGTAATGTGATAAAAGTTTCCAAGAGATGAACCGAAAATTTCAGTCAAAAATTTTTAAGAGTGTATTTTTGAGTGGAGAAAAGTTTACTATAATTATTCTTCCACTAATAACTTTACGAATGAATAAGCTAGGAATATATTCTAAAATTTTCTAAAGTTTTAGTCAATAAGACAGGAAGAATCCATAGTCTTTAGAATCCAAAACTTTCGAATATTCAGTCTTTTACCAGAATGTCTTTTTATTTTCTTGGTAAAGGAAAAATGAGAGATGTTTTTTGTGGTATAAAACACCAAGGAATTGTGTAGTTGTGTCTTGAAGGGGCCGATCAATGCTACGGTGTTGATTCTTTTGTCGTTTGGTATAACAGTGCCAGGCATGAAAGTCAAACGAGCCATTATTCCTTGACCTGACCCAACGAAACCCCCTTTCATATTCATTAGCATCGGGTCCCCAGACCGTTGTATATACCTTGTGGACCAGCCAATCCAAGAGGGCAAGACTCACAAAAAAAAATAATAATAAAGGAGTCAGCGATACGGGAGAACTCGTCTGCATAAAAATCCTGCATTGAAAAATAAAAGAGCGATGTATCCGTTCTCTTTTGCCCAACTTCTTCATCGTTTATCGAAAACGATCATCGAACCCCTGAATTTCACGCATTCTCAATGACTGCACTTGGATCATTTGCATTTCAAAAGTTTTAATCGGGGAGATCAATGTCCCTCTGCATATCGATACACATCAATTGTCATTCAGATATTTTTCGGGGATTCACATGCATTATGCAGGAAATTATAAGTACATAAATGATTTTAGAGGTAGATTCTGTATTACTGTGGTTTCAGAGATATTCAACTGTGTGTGAAACTCTTTTGCTCAATATTTCAAAGGTACTAGTCCCAACTTCAATTCAGTAGCGAAGTGGTAAAACGGTTTAAGTCGACTTATCTCTCAGTTGAGTTTTTGAGAAATATCTCGGAATCTATGGGAGATAGCGAAATTTTCGTGGTTACATTTGTTGTAGCATTCAATCGGCTCTACAAAAAAGGTTGTAACAACAATTTTGCTATCTCCCTTAGATTCCGAGATATTCATTGAAAACTGGTCAGTAGTCAAAATTGACTTGTACCGTTTTACCACTTCGCTACTGAATTTTTCTTTTTTCAAAATTTTCGTCTTGTTTTGTGAAAAAGTCATGATTTTGATTACGCAAGTTTGGCTCTTTTACTGGCTCCCCCCTCTTTTTCTCATCATTTCCTCTCCACCAGTTCCCGTGCTATGTCGATGGACACGAATGTGACGCCGGATAGAGAGGTTTTTAGGCGTATTGTATTCACGATACGAGATTCTTATGCAAAGAGGCCGCTAACAATGCTATCACCATTCCCCTGATACGTGGAGTTCATTACAGTTTCTCATTTTTTTCCCATTCGAAGTTGACACGTTTCAATATCTCTCTATTATTGGCAGATCGACGATGTTATCTCGTAGGATGCTTTGACCAGTTTTTTACCGAATAAAGAATAATGAAGTAAGTCCTGCTTTTACGGATTTCAGAATGATGATGGTCAGGATAATGACGGCGAGGGATTCTTCTGGGATCCACCGTCGAGTAGAAATCGAGAACCGAGGAGCCAGGTGCGAGGGCTGCAGGAGCAGATCGCACAAGCCACCGTGAGGATCAAGGAATTAGAAGAGGAGGTGAAGAAATATCAGAAGGTAATTGAATTATTGAATAATATTCTTTGAAACAATAATATTTTTGAAATATCATGACACAATGATTACTGATTTCCAGTGATTTCAAAGCCATTTCACGTGATTTCAAGGAATAATTGATTTCAAGTGAGTCCATCGGATTTTATCCCCAATTTCATGAGTTCAAATTTTCCATTTCATCTATTCGCGCAATTGTCTCAGAATAATTGAGCAAAATCGAACCGGGTGATGAAATAAGATCTTGTGAATTGCGAACAAGTTGCAATGGAGATAAAACCTGAATTTGAATCCTCGTAGCACTTCATTTTTTTTCGAGTAAAGTAAAAAGGTGTTCAAATACGTAAGAAGATAATTTTTAGAATAATTTTAGAGTCTAAATTATCTAAACCCACTTTTTTCCTATGATAAAAAAATTATTCGAAAAAATCAGATAAGGATTGAAAGTACTGAACATGTTCAACGGCGAAATGGAAGATTCTCGAGAAATATCGATCTGTTTTGAGAATCGTTCGTATAATTCGACAGTGTTGTCTTTGTTTTTCTTTCGATACTGTCGCAGAAAGAGAACCTTTGTTGGTAAACCATATTCGTCAAAATGCGTGTTGAGTCGAAATTCGAAATTTGTTTTTGTTCTCTGTACGTTTCGAAATAAAATTTCTCAGCTCATCGATTTGGCGATTGCAAGTGATTTCATATGAAGTCACTTGGAATCGCAGATAAACCGCGAATTGTAACTTTATTTTGTTCGGTTAGAACGCGGATCTCGGTACGTGGGGCATAAAATATTATTTTACATCACATGATACAATTTACGGCATTTTAAGAAACTCAAAAACATGAACCTCACACCTCATAAGCTGTAAATTTCACAAGGGTCAAACGTTGCAAAAGACCAACGTCACAAGTCATCTTCACTGTGAGAAAGTCAATCTCATTATTTATTGAGCTTTATTGGATTCTGTACTTTATTATTTGGAGCCCCGGAAATGCCCAGTTGGGCCTGAAAAGAACGACTTTGTTCTGAAGACTTCAAGAAAGCTACCAAAGACAATTGAATAAATTTTATCATTTAAGGGGTAACAGAATGCTGCTAATTTTCCAAATTTTTGAACAAATTTCCTGCTGAAAGTTATCGATATTTTTACAAATCAAAGCACATTAATCTCCAGGAAGCGATGGTAAACATCAACGTGCTTTGGGTTTAAAAAAATATTGATAACTTTGAGCAGGAAATTTTTTGACAATTTCAAGGAAACAGTGGCCTTCTGTTAGCCCTTAAGAATGCTGAATGAAACAAGTTAATGTCAAGACAAAAGATGATGACGCGATGAATTCAATAGTGAACAATAAATATGACTCTTCGCGAAGCTGCACGGTTTACTATAAAAGGTAACTTCCGCTGTTTTTTACATTTTTTACATTTATTACGCAAATTATGGGTTTTTTACAATGTCATTAAAAAAAATGCGGTTATCGATAAATCCTAAACCAACCCCGATCATTTCCAACCAAAATTGGAGAATGTGAAAATTGGCCGATTACAATGCTTCCGTTCGGAAGCAAAAAGAAATTCGTCTCCCAAGAAGATTACTCATTGACAAAAGTAATTTTTTTCTCAGTGTAGAGGAAGGGGATGAAATAAACGTACGGGGGAAAATGGACTCCTTTAATATCTTGGCTGAACTAAGAGGGAAAAAGGACAAACAAAACGGTTGTAAAGGTCAAACGGAAGAGACGAGCGGAATACTCAGGAGGATCAGATGATCTCCCCCGTTTGACTCGTTTAAGATGATTTTCCATATCTATTTCGATCGATAAGAATTGCAATAAAAAATTGAAATATTGTCTCATAATAATTGTATTTTTTTGCGGAAAGAGCTGTCTGTTTCACTCCGTTTCTAAATAAATCAAAATTTAATCAGACGCGAAGTCATTGTCATGGTATCGTGATTTATGCCTATAGAGCTACTCCCCTAACAAGATTAGTCAAACGGCGTGGCCATTTGCCCCTTCTCCCTCTGGGCTTTATGATGTGGGTGAAAACCTGAAGATGAATTTTACAGGATTAGGAATGTGGTGAGAATCACACTGCGTACACCCGCCAAATATTTTACCCTCAATCCTCATATCCAAATGTGAAAATATATCATCCAAATTCTGATTGAAATGAATCTTAAAACCCAATTTATCACAGCTCAACGCTAATTTTTGCTATATCGTTGTGGCACAATAACAATAATTCTTTTCATTATTTTTCTCAGATGAATTCAGTAGACAAGAAGGATGAAGTATCAGACAACAACCAGAGAGGTGAATTCGTACGTGTGAAGCAGGACTTAGTCAATCGCATCATCCAAATTGGAGAGAAGGTAAAACGTCAATTTTTTCCATTAAAAAAAAATGAAATCCCTCTGAAAAGGTGTGTGAACTAAAAGCAAAGTCATCGTTCTTCAACAGGGAAAAGAAGCAGAAAGAACCATGAAGAAGATCCAGATGGACGAGTCTGCCTTCATCAACGACTTCCGCGCTGCTATCTCGAAGCTTGACTCCCACGAACAAGTGAATTTAATTCGCGGTGCCTTGAGTGCTCTTGAAATGGACAATGGTGCCACCGGAAAAGAAGAAAAATCTGATGTTGGAAAAAAAGTCCGCCTGGAAGAGCCGACCAATGGCGTCAGCAATCGAGAGTTAGAGCTCCGTAAAAAGATCAAGAAACTCCAAGAAGAGAATAAGAACCTCTCCACCAGCATCGAAGAGCTTGATCAACAACATGCCCAGTCAATTGAGAAAGTCCTGGGTCTCAAGGACGAACTCAAGAAGAAGCACCAGTGCCTTCAGACAGCCTACGAGACCCTCTACATGGACTACAACAAACTTCAAGACCAGATGTCCCTCCTAGACCCCAAAAAAGCCTCCCTCGAGGAGAAACAAGTCCAGACAGAATTTCCCGCCCCACAAGGGCTTCTCCAAACCGACGAGAAACCCACTCAGACTGAAGAGAGCCTTCCACCACCTCAAGACCTCCAACAAATCACCGAGAACGTCCAAGACATCGTGAAAAATTCAACCCTAAAACTGCCGAAGGACGAAACTCTGTTCGAAACCCTGGCGAATCAGTTGGTAGAAACCCAGAAGCAGAAAGAACTGCTGGAACGAAGGATCCCCGACTTAACTAGAGAGTTGAATCAAGCCTGTGAGATGCGAGATGCCGTCCAACAAGTGAATTTGATTCGCAGTGCTCCGAGTGTCCATGAAATGGACAATGGTGCCACTGGAAAAGTAGAAAAATTAGACATTTCCCAACAAGTCCATCCAGAAGAGCCGACTAATGGGGTCAACAATCGAGAATTAGAACTCTGTAAAAAGATCAAGAAACTTCAAGAAGAGAATAAAAAACTCTCCACCAACATCGAGGAGCTTAAACAAAACCACAAGTTGTCAACGGAGAACTTCCAGGATCTCAGGCATAAGCTCGAAATGGAGAAAGACTGTCTTAAGACAGGCTACAACGCCCTCAACGCGGACTACAACAAACTCCGAGACAACGTACACCTCCTAGACCCAAAAAAAAAATCCCTCGAGGAGAAACTAGTCCAGACAGATTTTCCAGCCCCACGAGAGCTCCAAACCGACGAGAAACCCATTCAGACTGACGAGAGCCTCGCGCCTCCTCAAGACCTCCAACAAATCACCGAGAAAGTCCACGAAATCCTGAAAAATTCAACCCTGAAAATCCCCGAGGACGAAACTCTGTTCGAAACTCTGGCGAATCAGTTGGTGGAGACCCAGTGGAAGAAAGAAATGCTGGAACGAAGGATTCCCGACTTGACTAGAGAGTTGAATCAAGCATGTGAGATGCGAGACGCCCTTCAGATCGACTGCGACGATCTCCAGACGACAGTAGAGGCCTTGGAGTCCGAGATTCAACACATGAAGTCAAACCTGCCGTCCATCCCTGAAGCCAGTGAGGAGCGAGTTGCCTCCCTGGAGACAGAAACAGAATCAATGAGTGAAGAAATAAAACGTTTGCAAACAGAGAACGATCTTCTTCGTCAAAAGCACACAGACTTGATAACAACATTGACAACATTAGAAGGATCCCTTCGAAACCAGGAGAATCTGGAGGCAGAAGTGAGGAACACGAAGCAACAGCTGGAGATAGCCCAGCAGCAGCTGGCAGGGGCTTCCAAGAACGTCGAGAACAATGAGAATATGATGGAGGACCTCAGTCGACGTCTCCACACTTCCTTAGAGGAGAACAACGACTTGAGAAAGCGCAACGATGCTTTAGAAACTAGAGAGAAGCAGATGCAGGAGCAGATGAATACTTACTCTGAGAAATGCAAAGGATTGGACGACAATATCGACTTGATCGAGGAATTGAAGTTGGACATTGGGAATGCTCGTAGGGAGCTGAAGAATTCCTTCGACGGCAGTAAGAGACTGGAGAACGAGTTGATGAACGTCACTGAAGCGAAGAAGGAGATTGAGAGGGACATCATCGCTCTTTCTCGGGAGAAGGAGCACCTGGAGACTGAGCTGGCTCTCATCCGGGACAATGGAGTCCAGGAGGATAATTCGGAGGTTCTCAAAGAGCTCAGGAGCCAATTGGAGTCTGCTAATCGGGAAAAAGACGATTTGGAGTATGATTTACTTAACATGAGGAAGGAGTTGGATTTGGCTCTGAGTGATGTATCCCAGATGGAGGCGAGATGTGTTAAATTGACAGCGGAGAATGAGAAGCTCATTACGGAGAATAACAATGTTGTTGAGCAGTTGGGCAGCATCAGTGAAGAGTCCGCAGAGAGAATCGAACTTCTTCAAACTGAAATGAATTTACTCCAGCAAGAACACACATTTTTGCAGGAGGAGGCAGCCGCTGAGAAGTCGGAACTCTCAGAGATGAGGTCACAGCTTCAAGAAATAGAATTCAAAAACATTGACATGGAAAATATCATCAAACAGTCCAAAGCTGAATTTCAAGAATTGAAAAATCACTGCGATAATTTGCGTGGACGAGCAGACAAAATTCAAGAATTGGAGAAGGAAATAATTCGTCTTTCATCATTCGAAACAGAATTAAAATTGTCAGAGGAGAGATACGCAAAGTTGGACGCAGAACTCGCAGTTGTTCAGCTCCAGAATGAAGAATTAATAGAAAATCGTGACGATTTATCCCATCGACTCAGCGACTTGAACGAAGTATCCGAGAACATGTATAAATACAAAATAAAATCAGAAGAACAGGAAAAAGAAATAATACTTCTAAGATCCGAACTTGCAAAAATGACATCGAGAACTCAAACAGAGGACACCGACGCCCTCAGATCTGCCTTGGCGCAGAAATCATCAGACTTGGAGCTCTTGAGAACCGAGAAAATCCAGCTAGAATCAGCCTTGAATGCTGTTAAGACCGAACTGGAGTCTCTGAAGAGCAATTCTAATGATTCGGCGTTAATGGCAAAGGAAACAATCGAGAATTTATCCCAAATAATCCAGCAGAAGGAGCAGGAGCTGGAGACAAAACTCCTGGAGAAAAATAGTGCCTTCAACGCGTTGAGATCCGAGCGAGACGAACTAGTGAAACTCGTTCAGGCAAAGCACAACGAGAGTTTGCAGTACCACGCAGAGATCCAGAGGATGACGCAGCTGTTCAACGAACAAGTCGCGACTCTTCAAACTTTAACATCAGAACGTGATAGATTGAATGGAGCGTTGAAAGAGAAAGAGGCTGAGGTGTTGTGGGCCCAGAACGAGCTCCAGGTGGTGCGCCAGCGTCTGAAGAACTTCGAGGACTCCAACAACTATGGAGAGACTTGTAACATCCCTGAGCACTCGAGTCAGATCTCTCAGGCTGGGATTTTGAACGAAAAATGTAATGCACTTGAAGCTGCGCTTGTCAAGGAGCAGTCGAGCAATAGAATCCTCCAGAATCAGTTGAATGAGAGTCAAAGCAGAGAGGGCTGTGCTGCTAGGGAGCTAGAGAGACTGAGGACTCATTTAATGGAGATGGAGGCAAGTTACACCGAGGAGGCACTCCTCATGGAGCAGAGCAAGAAGGAACTGGAGGGAAAACTGAAGGAGGCGGAGGAGAAGGTGAAGAACAGCTCCACTGTGTACACTTCTGCCAGCATCAGGGCTAATCAACAGGTGGAGACTCTCCAGCAACAAATGGCACTCATTGTGCAGCAGAGGGATGCCATACAGGGTAAATTGTCTGCTGCTGAAGATAAAGTTGCTGCGCACACTGCTTCGTTGACGAATCTGCAGATTGTACTTGAACAGTTCCAAAGAGGTAAAGTTGCATAATTCTGGGGTTAAACACTTGAACAATTACTAAATTTTAGATTCGTCCATACACGATGAAAAATCAAATGGTTCTGTAACGTTTTATCACTCTGCTGATGATTCTATTCTCTTCTGTACTTTACTCCAACAAGGAAAATAATTAACATAGTTTTATAATGCTCTAGATAAGGAAAACGATATTCGCAATGCAACTGAAAGAATTCGCCAGCAGTTGAACGCATCGTACAAGAAACAGGAGGAATTGAATGCAGAAATATCCTCATTGAAGGTAATTTTTTATTTTCTATATTTACGAAGTCAGAGCCAAATTATATTAATTATTCATGAGTTCATAATTGATAAATGCTTCAATAGGGTCAATTGGCAGAGGCTAAGGAGTGCCTTCAAGCAGCTTCCCGATTGAGCGAGCAACTAGACAAAAAGAGTGAGAAAATACAAGAACTCAGCCAAGAAGGTATTTACTATTGATTCATTGAATTACTAATTCCACACTATTCCCTTAACTTCTGGATTCTTTTCTATCAATTCCTGCATGACACAGATTGTTTCATCACGCACAGTAATTAACGATGAATGTTTCATCCTGTCATAATAAAATTTTGCCTTCATGCACAATCACAATCACGTAAAGACAATCACCAAGAATGCATGTTTTTTCCATTCAATTCACTCTTGAGACTTATTTTCGCATTTAGACTGCTAATTGAATTACTTAATGCTCTTTGAAGTTGATCTCTAAATACACATCCATACGTCGATTTCTTTCAATAATGTATGAGTATCTAGTGATAAGCGAATGATTTATTTAGTTATTAAGCATTGATTATTTGATGAGAGTGACCTGTGTGACTAATCTGCAATTTAGAAAAAAAAAATGCAAGAACAAAACGCACATGAGAACAATTTTTGAATTTTATGAATGAATAAAACATAACCGGTGGCTTAGTCAAATATCAGCTGGTAATTCTGGGCTGTTGAGAGTGACCCAGGATTCTGGCTGGTATGAGGCTACGTACTGGTAACGTCGCCTTTTTGCACACTAAAAACAATTACTCGTTATTTTTCGTTTCACATATTACATACATTTTCGATATTCACCCATTGGCCATTTGGTGCTGGTTATTATTGACTCATAATAAGATTTAGGAAATGTTTTTATTAAAACAGCAGTTACTAAAACCAATGATAACTTTTCTGCAATTGGGAAGTTTCAACAAAATTTTTTGTGTGTTATTTTCTGTTATTGTCCATTATTTCGTTGTTGTCATTGAAGAACAATTCAGTGAACTAAAAAAAGCTTTCTGGAGTTGAAACTAAAACTAGATGAATCATTTCATGTTTTATTTCATCTGTTTGACTATTTATTTATTTACCTTGTGTTTAATAAATTTTCTATTGATTTTTATCAATTGTTATTACAAATATAGAATAGGAACAGCACAGAATGGATTCGCCAAAGTAGAAAAATAAGTACATAAACGATTAAATGAATTTGGTAATGCTTGAGTGTGTAATCTCATGCGGTAACTGTGAGCGTAATTCAGTATAAATGCTCATTTTACCGCGTGGAATTTCCCACCCGTTACCCCTTTCCTACAAACCACTCATTGTAGAAGCAAAAAAATGAAACACTTATGATTTTTTATTTATCAATTACCCAGAATTTGTAACCACGCATACATGAGAATTGATTTTTCTTTACCATGTTAATGAGCATGTTGAGGAGCATGGTAATGTTATAAACCAATAAGCCAAGGGAATGCAGCATGAAAGAACCAAAAATTTTGGGCACGGGTGTGAGTATTACATCAGGTACTGGTGTATGTTCATTATCAACCAGTGCTTGTGTTATACTTTCGCTCATGTCTTCCCTAATCGTCGTTGTCTCGAACCACAAATTTGGATGCAGCATTTCAATGCAATTGCACTTGTAAATGCAAAAGTTTTCATAGGTATCACCTCAATTTATCAATTTTTTTGTTTCATTAACTGATTAAATTGTTTTGATTTTTGAATGCATTCATTCATATTGAGTCTTGAGTAGAGACGAAGGATAATCCATTGTTTTTTTTCGAGTGATTAATTCAATTTTTTGTCATTTTTTCAGTCGCAAAATTGACGGAATTAGTTAATACTGCGGATGAGAGGATTCAAGAGGCGAATAAAAGTGGAGAGGGCAAAGTAGACAAGTAATTATCGAAATATCCAATTATCTTAATGAAAATCAGAGCTGGGGGAGCCATTATTGCATTTACCAATTAAAATGTTGACGAAGAATTGTGATGGCGAGTTTTAATGCGCAAAAACTACGAGTTGAAATGATTTTATTTTTTATTCATCAAATGCAGAAAATGCCATAGTATTTGGAACAGTTTGATTCAGAAATATACTATTTGTGAATAATTGATGGAAAATCTTTTGCAATACTTTTATTTTCTTTTGAATTGAAGAGCTGAAAAATACTAATCATCGCGGTATTTGATGCATAACTGAAAAACATTTCTAGTGATGAAAGAACTTCATAAAACTATTGAAAACATTGCCAACAGAATAAGTCTCATATAACAATCCCTATTGACTTTTAGACTACTTCATTCGAATGGTGTTATAATGGTATTAAAAATGGAAATTTAAAAATCATCTCGAATAGTACGAAACTTTCAAAAATTATCATAGAACGGAAAAGTTTCTAATTTCCAGGCCTAACTGGCTGATTTTAAGAAACTCATAATTCCAAAAATGCTGTAATAATTTCAAAAATTCCAAAAATAATTCTAATTCTAAAAGATGCTAGATTGATAGCAATAAACTAGTTATTTGATTTGAGAAAAAAATCTCTGACATTCAATGTCAAAAATCCACTTGTTTCATGTGAAACGAGTTTTTAAATCAAGAATCGTTGGATTCTTAAGTCAAAAATCATTGGGTTCTTGAATTCAGAACCTTGGCGTTCATGAACTAATAACATTCGACAGGAATAAAATTCGAGAACGATTGAACATTAAAGGATTTATAAACATGAGTAGATTTATTCTAGAGCAAAAAAATAAAAATTCATCATATACATATGGACTAAATAAATAATAAAAATTCATCACATCAGGAACGAGAATGTTCATAATTTGAGCACGTAGAGATTCTTGATTCAAGACCCCCAAGGTTTTTATTTTACCAACCCAAAAGTTTTGAATTCCAGAAATGTGAGAAAATGTGCCTTTATTTGGGTAGAGTTATACTAGCCTTGAGTAAAAATTCCAGGAAATTACTCATAATTCATGGTTTTCTGCACCATTTTTTAGAGAAAGTTCTGTGGAAATGAGTCAAAATTTCACTCATTTCTAGGATTCTTTGCTCGGTAGAATTCCTGCAACAGAATTCTGAAACTCCTAGATTTTACACGAAATTAGAAACATTTTTTTTCTCTAGTATTCAGGGTCTCCAGCTCTGGTGAGCATAATGACATAATTCTCAATTAATAAAATCACTATTTTATCAATCTTTCATCTCTAGATTCCTGATAAAAAATCTCCTCCTGGGCTTCCTGTCATCCCCCGCGTCTGACAAATCCGCAGTTCTCCGAGTGTTCGGCACAATTCTAGACTTCAACGAGGATGAACGTGAAAAAGCAGGCCTAAATCATCCAGCTTCACACGGTGGATGGTTCTCAGGGTTATTATCCACCTCTGGAACACCAACGAAAGATCAAGAGGCCTCACTGACTCAATCATTCATCAGGTTCCTCGAGAGCGAATCAAAGCCAACTTCGGTGCCAGCCTTGCCAGTGTCCAACACGTCCATTTCCAGGCCTGGACATAGTCGACAACATTCAACTTCCTCTTCCCACTCTGGGCTGTTGCTCACCAACGTCAATCTTCCCTCATTCCCGGATTTTATACCATCAAGAAACACTGGATCCATCCTCAAAGAGGTCCTCAAGGACAGCTGATATTAACGCATCTATTCTAATTGACTATGTAAATACTGCTACATTTATTATTATTTCCTTTTTTGTCAGATTGTACTTGGACAGATTAATTTAGATGATGATAACGGAGTTGTGTCCATGTCTCATTGAGTATTCGATTGCCTTTGTTAACTCGCAATAGATGAAAATGGAGTTTTAAATACTGTATTAAAATTATTTGAGTTGTGCTCAGATATAAACTAAACTTGGCGATATTTTTCGATTGTAAAAAGGAGATTTGTATGTGAGTTGGGAATAAAATAGAAACTAAAACGTATAAAATGTTATAGTCAAGTTATTTTTGTTCAATAGAAATGAGGAGAATTCAATGTTGAGAATTCTAAATTCAATTCTGAAGCAAGACGAGTCTTCAATTGTAACGAATAACACAGAACAACAGCAGAATAATTCAGTGATTTCCTTCAATTTTCTCTTGTCTATTCATAAATGAGAAGACTGCCTTTATTCAGGCGCAATAAAAATTGTAGAAGAAACACGATTTCAAATACTATATCAAAATTATTTAACAAGGTGTTGTGCCTGACGATTGATCGATGGGAAAATAGAATGTGAGGTAGGTTGAATCAGGAGCTGAAAAAAAATGGTTATATTATTTATTCGACAATAAGATGAGAATGCAAAATCCAGATGAAAACAGTACAGTAGTTCAATCGTAGTTTATAAAAAGCTGCAGATAGCTGTGTTTTCAATACAATTAATCGTGATTTTACGTGGATGCGTCTATAGTTTCCATTTTTTAGAAAATAGAAATTTTTTATAATTTCTCAAATTTTTTGAAGAAGCTCTTGATTTTTTGCGGATGTAGAAAACCCTTCCTTCTATCTTTCCAAAATTCACTAAATTTCTACAATTCTCTCGCAGGTTTAAGATGTTTCCAGAAGTCTCTACGTTCATTACTGCAGTATACGAGACTGCTATCTTTATTTTAATTTTCGAGAGAATTCTAAATTATCTTGGACATACCCCGAGAATTTTCTAGAAAATCGAACAATTTTTTCGATATTTTTTTACAAAACCGTAGAATTTTGTACAATTCTCTAGAAAAATCTAGAATTTTCTAGTATTTTGAGGGGCGACACTGCGACACAAAGACTTTCTCCTAAGTGATATGCCATAACAAAACCACAGACGATCCACATCGCAAACACGATAATCCAACCTTGACCTAGGTCACCAAAATCCACAAGTGAATGCCAATTATCTTCGAGAATTTTCAACGAAATCTTTGGTGAATGAAAGCAAAATTTGTTTTCATATATGGAGTTGCAAATGAACGAGGAAGAGAAACAAACTCAATTCCATAGGAAAGTCATTTTAAAAAAAAGTGGAGAATTTAACGTAGAACCGAAGTGAACGATAATCCTACAAATTCCAAGATAAATCCTAAGAGAAGACGAGTCTCAATTTGCAACGAATAACACAAACCACCAGCACAATAATTTAGTTTTTACCATAATTTTTTTTCGTTATTTATAAATAAGATAATTCAACTACCTGTATTCAAATGCCCAACGACCAACCCATCGATCGATGAGAAAAAAAAAGAAAACATCACGTAGAAATGAGCTAGAACCTAATAAATAAAATGTCTAGTCGTGTTGAAAAATAAGATGAGAATCCAACGTTGACCCAGCTGAACATCCAAAACGCCGAAGAGAATGACAAAGAAATTTTCACCCCAAATCTTCAGGGAAAGGATTCTTAACGTACAATAAACAACGCATTATTTTCCTTCTCACTTAAATTTTCTCTTTTTTTGGTTTATTATTTATTCACCAAATTAATAAAAAGTACAAAGAAATATCACAAAACTCAATAATGTGATAATGACTCAACGTAAACTAAATAATGAATGAAACGAGTAATTTTATGAGAGTAGTATCAATGGAAATACGAACGTTATGAGATAATCCATTTTATCAAAAAATAGACGAAGGTAAAAGGTAATGAAATATTTCACTTCTTGATACACTTCTTGTCCTCCTTGTCCTCCTTCTTCTTGCACGAGGCATCGCTGGTGTCACGAATGGCAGGCTTGCCAGTGTGCTCGATCTTGATGACCTTTTCGCCCTCGACCTTGGGCACCTCCTTCCTGGGTGCTGTGATGGTGAGTACACCGTCCGATGAGAGACTGGAGGACACCTGCTCTACGTCGCACTGCTCTGGGATCATGTACTTGCGTATGAACTGGCGAGAGATCCATCCGTGCTCGTCCTGCTTCTCCTCGTGCTTGGCCTCCACCACGACACATTTGTCAACGACCTTGACGTTGATCTCCTCAGGCTTGAACTGCTGGACGTCGAGGATAACTTGGAATTTGTTCTTGTCAGCGTTGACAGTTGAGGCTCCAGTGTCGGCCTTGCGAAGCAGCTCACCCCAGGGTCTGTAGTATGCCAGAGGGGATCTAACTCTCGGGATCTCCCTAGGGGAGAAGTAACGCTGCAGAATCTGAGGTGTCAAGAGCTGCTCTGGCGCCAGCTCCAGACCAAAGTCCTGGTCAAAGAGCCTGTGGGGACGCTCCAAATCCTCCCACCAGTTTGAGAACAGCAGTGGTACAAGACTCATCTTGATGTTCTTTTTTTTTTCGTAGAAATTGAATACGTTTGAGTTGCGTTGGGTTTCGCTTGCGCGATGTGTATCGTTCGATTGCTTCGAGTAGACTGATGCCTCAGCTGGCGCGCCGCCCTCTATTTATACTCACCGGCCGGCTTCGAGAATATTCGAGATTGAACGGCAGTTATTTCGGGTAAACACAGGGTTTTGAATAAATGAATCGGAGAATTTGATCGGGAACTGTTTTTTTTCAGTTTTTAGGACTGTTTTTTCGGGGTTTTTAGGTTGTTTAAGACGCAATAAGGGGGCTGGATTGTAGCTGACGGGTATAGACAACGAGAGTTTCTCAAACGAGACGGGTGAAAGGGTGGGATATGCGTCGTTTCGATGAGCTTCGAAGCCTCGGAGTGCCGTTAGAGACTTATTTACATTTTTTTAGCGTGTTTCCATGGAGTTCCGGATTTTTTGGCGAGACAGTGGTTTCGTTATTCTGTTGAAAATTATTTTGAGGGAGAGTTTGGGGAGTTTCTAGAACGTTCGAGGTTGTCAACAGGCTGAGATATCGATCTGTTTGCAGTCTCGTACATTCGCCTCGCCTCTGATCGACAACAAAAGGCTCACCGGAGAGAAATTTTATTGAAATGAATTTTTCGTCTCGATTATTTCTAGTTTCTTCATATCAATGGATTGTTTTTCGGTTGATTGTTTTTGGCTAGCAAATTGTTTGAGGATGCTCTTTTTACATTAGAGATTGTTCTAGATTTTTTTATTTTTTTTCTTGTCAATGTCCGCGATAGGACTGGAAGGTTCCATGTAATTGGGTGTGTCAGACTGAGCCCAATGTTTTTCATTTATTATCACCAGTTGACTCAGATAGCCCATGTGCGCAGTATGCTGTGAGCCCCCCAGACGAGACATTAGGCGTAGACGGCGTAGAAGGTTCACGAACTTTCGGGCTCGCTCGATGCGCCAACTGTCTTTCAGACGAATTTATTCAACGAATGTTGAATGTTGAACGAGTTTATTTTATTTTTATCTTCAGGGGTTAAAAAGAAGGTGGATTAATGAACGGAGAAAGTATTTTGAAGAGAACTTTTTTTTATCGCAGATATTTTTATTCAACTGAATCAATATAATGACAATACGATGGTATCTTTGTTTTTTTGCATGTTTTTGCTGTTTCTGGGTTATCTGTCTTGCATGATTTTTGTATCACTTTATTTATTACGTGCATATTCGAGTTTAAAAGTGCATTATTACACTGAGAAAAAAATATATTTTTGCCAAATGTCCATTTATTTGAGAAAAGTATTTATTTTTTCAATACCGTATTTCTCCGTTCGAGTCATTCTCAGGCAATCGTCAGTAGGTTTCTATTGTGTCAAATCTTTCGCATGCAGATCGTTAAATAAACCCTTCATCAGTTTTTCATGTAAAAAAATAGCTCGGAAAATTACGCAGCGATCACAACGTCTCTCCTCTCTCGACCTGGATTCCCCCGTTGTTCGCTGGAACCCTCGCCATCCCCTCTCCCCTGATGTGACCAGGTAAAACAGCTGGTGCCCCAGTGCAATGAATGGAAATCATTCTCTCGATTTCCCCCTGCCCCGCAGGCTTCAGCTACAGAGGTTTTTTTTCAAAATTTTTGAAAAAAAGTGTACAATCACAATTACGTGCTATTTTTTTTTGAAATTTGACTCCTACACAACCAATTTAGTTTTTTTTTAATTAAAAAAATTGTACCATTCATGTGAAATAGCCAGAAAAATGATGCTCAAAATATTTGAAATATATTCTCGATTCTGTAAGAGACAATTGCTGGCTATTTTACATGAATGGTGCAATTTTTTATATTGAAAAAGAAATTAGCTATGTAGGAGTCGAGTTTAAAAAAACTAGCTCGTGAGGTTGGCATCCCTCGGCTTCGCCTCGGACCGCGAACACTCGTGAAGATTCCGTGTCACTCGTATCGAAATATACGTTCACCTCGTGCCCAAAAGTGCCTTTTCGTTCACTCGTAAATGAAAAGTAAACGAAAAATCTTTTCGTTCACTTGTAGGCGAGTTCAGCCACTCGATGAACGTAACATCGCTGTCAAATAGTACATTATATGCCCGAGCCTTGGAAAACAGATCACCGTCCCCCACATGCAAGATTGCCTTCCGAGCCGAAGGCGAGGATGGCAAGCACGTGGGGGAGGGTGATATGTTTTCCATGACGAGGTGTGTATATTAATTTTCGTGTCGAGGGACCTGAAATAGTAATTTTCATCACAAGGTCCACAAAGTATTTTCTGACGAATGTGATTATAGGCCTCGCCTTCGGCTTGGCCTACAAAGCCACATTCGCCAGAAAATACTTTTGGACCGTGTGATGAATGCAATTTTTCGTCAGAAGGCCCGTAAACCGCGATCAAACCGAGCGAAGCGAGGTTAGAATCGCGGTTTACCGGGTCTTCTCACGAAAAACCCCATTTTCCCATGCGTTTTGCAGGTCCCGTGACACGAAAAAATATTGTTAAACCAGGGGTGGACGTTCAAATTACGTTGGTAAATTACACAGTTTTTTTACTGACGTAATTTACGTAAAATACCTCGACGGGTTTTTTACATTTTTTACATTACTTCGAAAAGCTTGCAATTTTCGGTTACTAAAATGTTTTATTTTATTCCGACTGACGAAGACGCAGTATTGAACCCATAAATATCATAAAAAATTGTATATTATGTCCCGAGGACCGATAAACCGTAAATTTTCACTTCACTTTGTTCGGTTGGAACGCGGTTTTCAGTGCTTGGTGCATAAAATATTATTTTATGTCCCTAGGACATAACCGCGATTCTAACATTGATTCCCTCGGCTAAATCGCGGTTTCCGGACCCAGAGACGTAATAGTATATTTCGTAACGAGTGCAAAAAAGTGTTTTTTGGCGAGTGGGAGGTTTATAATCCCACGAGCTAAAAAACATTTTTTCACGAGTTACGAACAATATTTTTCATCACAATGTGACGGAAATTGGACTTTTAGGCACGCGGAGCGTTGCACCAATGTTAAATTGTTTTTCCATCTTCTCCAACGACGTCATTTTTCACCCTATGAAGATCATTTTGGGCTCAAAATGTGCGGAATATTATCAATATTATCAGAGTATACATAACAATATAGGGGGTCATTTTGGGAAACGATCCTTATGTGCAGCGCCATCTATCGGAATTCTAGAAAATTCTAAACATTTCGAGGTAATTCCAAAAGTTTCTTGAAATTTCGCAAAAATTCAAGGAGTTTCTAGAAATTTCGAGGAAATTCAGGGAGTTTCTAAAAAATTCGAGGGAATTCAACAAGTTTTTAGAAAATTCGAGAGAATTCAAGGAGATTCCAGGAAATTCGAGGGCATGCAAGGAGTTTCTAGGAAATTCGGGAAAGAAGGAAAGACCATGGACGCATTCACGTACAATTACAGCTGTATTGAAGATACAGCCGCCCGCAATAGCGATAACGATGTTTGTTGGGTCTCAACAGTGGATAATTGAGATAATCAGGTGTTGTCGTCCGATGATACACGTCAAGGTCATCTGCATAGCCAAAATGTTGATTTAAGCCCCTCATAACATTGAGATCGTTCCACCAGTCGTTGAATAACGGTTTCAGTGACGTTGTGGATTAAATCCTCGCGTTTTTCGGGTTTATTGTTACAAGGCTTCCTTTCTTTATGTTCGTTTATTTTATATTCGGAATCCAAAGGTGGAATTTCGCTCGAATACCCAACAAAAGCCTATTGATCGCGTTGAGGCGGGCCGGAGGCTCGTATGGCACTTATTGACCCGAAATAGAACTCCAATTCCCAAGTTTCATTGTCATAAAGACTCAGACGACAGATTAATTCCATCGACAACTGCTCCAAATTCCAATTTATTATTTTTTTTCTCCTCAAACAAACATATGTATTTTTTTCGTTTGTGTCAATCGATTCTGGCAAAGTGAGGTATATTCATACCACCAGTTGTAATAAGACACGTATCAGTATTGTACTCGGAATACGGTCTGGGTCGCTCGTTCAATGCTCTCTAAAAATGTCTACCTTGGTTTAACGATACAAAAAAAATGACCCAACTCTAAAGAAACTTTTATCCCTCTCTTTTCGTTGCGAGACGTAAACAAAGAGGAGGAAGTGGTTGCCTGATGTTTTCAGCTCCGACTCGTAACTCGTTCTGGAATCAATTCGGGAACGCACTAACATCCTGACGCAACAGCTATTGTAGAGAGAAGACGCAATATTCTGCCGGTCTGACCTTGAATGTAACCCTCGGAGTTATCGGCTTTTGGCGAATGGACAGATGGTTCGTACCAGACAACTGCCTGGAGTAGAGATGCGAAGGCATAATAATTTTGTCCCGTCAAGACAAAATTATTCTAAACAATTGTAGGAACATTTTAGAATTTTGATATTTTCGTGTATTTACAATAGTTTAAGAGATACAGCGTTTTATACAATTAAACTTATTCAGAACACTTTAAGCGCAATTTGACATGACCGGTCATAAAGTGGTCATTGACGGTCACATGACGAGGCCCCAATGACCGCCGGTCCGGTCACAAAAAATTTTTCCATGACGGTCACAATTGGCCGAAAAACTATGACGGTCATTTTGCATCTATCTAGATGAAACACTTTTTTGTTCATCTATTTTTTTTTCTAATTAACTAGAACTCTTGACTTTGTTTACTTACTTTAGTGTCTAGTACTCTTGGCTTCGTTTATTTTGTTCCAAAGATGAAAAGTGTAATCATTCTCTCATGAGTATGCAAAAATATATGTAAGCACATGTTTTATAATTTAATAATTAAAAAAAACTGTAGTACAGTTGTACACATACATTTCGAGTCTTCCATAAACACCTTATTATAAACAATAATTGATTATCAATAATAGATTGAACGAATAAGCGATACCAATTATGTAAAAATTATATGATTTTGGGGTCGCTGATTTCTGATTCTAAATTTCTTGGTTGTCAGTTCGAAAAATTGTCGCTTCAGTTGTTCTGAATAAGTTTAATTGTATAAAACGCTGTATCTTTTAAACTATTGTAGATACACGAAAATGTCAAAATTCTAAAATGTTCCTACAATTGTGTAGAATAATTCTATCTTTTACGAAATTTTGATGAATCAATTCAGTAGCGAAGCGGTAAACCGGGTTAAGTCGTTTTTTACTATTGGCTAGTTTTTGACGAATATCTCGGAATCTAAAAGAGATAGAAAGATTTTTGTCATGACCTTTTTTGTAGAGCCAATAGAGCGTTATAAAAAAAGTCGTGAGAAAAATTTTGCTATCTCTCTTAGATTCCGAGATATTCAGCAAAAACTGGCTAATAGTCAAAATCGACTTAACTCGGTTTACCGCTTCACTACTGAATTAATTGAAGAGATACATGCGCTGGAAAGTTGCGCGGTCAAAAGGGCAACTTGGCCGCGCAACTTTCCAAACTTTTTCGAACTGATAACCAAGAAATTTTATTCAGCTCCCATTTATGTTTACAACAGAAAAGAAACGCAAAAAGAACGATATGAATTGCGAGAACTGAATAAGGAATAAAGAGGAAAGGTAAGAAGGGGAATCTTTGATTCCAAAGAAATGATCGGAACACATATTCAAGTTTCAATCGACCCTTTATTGCCTTTTAAATTTATGTCCAATTCCTTCATTTCGTCATTCACAATTCCAATTATTTCATAGATGAACGGAATACATTTCAGTTTGAACATTGAAACTTTCCAGTTCAGAGGGAAATTGTTTATTTTTTAAATCATCTTCCCATGGGAAGCATTACATCAATTATTATACATCCAGTTTATTACTTCATTAATGAAATGAACACGTATTCATTTAACCCTACATTACTCATCTGGTCTTTAACCAATTTTTTTGTTTCAGTTGTGTTTTCTTCATAGAAAAGGACTATAAAAAAGAGAAAAAAATTAATTGGAGAATAATATTTGTGCAGTAATTTTTGTTTTTATGAATGTTGAAGTACCAAAAAAAATTCTATGAGAAAAAAATATCGTAGTTTCTATAGAATATATGTTATTGGATGCATGTTCTTTCATATAAAAATTCAATTTCATTGTTTTAACGTTGTAATTCTTCATTTCACGAGCGGATTCCATAGAAAGCGTAGGTAACAGAATATTCCTTCGAAAATAAGCCATTATTTCATTCAAAATATGTTATTGAATACGATTTCATTGATGTCGCCTACACTAAGGTTTCAGATCGACGAAACGTGATGCATTCAGAAAACTATTAATTTCGAAGAAATATTTAGGGAATGCGAAGGAATATATGATCTATTATTTGAGCCCTCAGAATTAGCTATTGAAAGAACCGTTTAATCATGCAATCGATTGAAAGTGACGACATATTCCATATCGCCAATGGATTGTTTCATTGGCGCTATTAAAAAGCACGCAGCGTTTTAGTAAAAAAAATCCGTCCGTTTTACTACATTTTCCTCTCAGTGCAGGTACACGGAGTGAAATATTCAATAAAAATTACCTATCTTTTCCGTAATTCCGGAGTGAAATCTGGTTGTGGGAAGTCTTACGGAACTGTCACGGAATTTCTCCAAAGCGTTCCGTAATTTTTATCTGAATCTCCTGTGAAAGATTACAATACCGTCACTTAAATTTTCTAAGTCGATTCCGTAATCGGTGAGCGAATTGGGAGTTCCGTAATTTTCGCAGAATATTTTTCTCCGTGCATCGCATGAAATCAGTGATAGCGTGAAATCATGGAAATCTCCATGAAATCCCGTGAAATCAGCAATCACTGTGCCATCAGCTTTCCAAATGAACGGCCCCTCGACAAACTGCAAATAGTATGAACGTAGACTCGACAGTGCATGCCACGCGTGAACTAAATATTTCCGAGTTATGATAACGAGTGATCTAACTGGAATTCTCACGTAGATAAATCTACAATTACAATACTGGAATGTTTACCTGACCAACTTTCACTCTTCGTTTACCCAAGGAAGCCGATATCACACTGATAAATTCCATTCGATGACTGACGAACGAACGTGAGGATTAAGGATATCCAAGTAGGGTAAACTGCCCAGTAGATGGACGCCTAAGAAAACCGCCCAGTAGATGGACGTTTGTTTTTCTAGCAATGAAAAAAAAAAGATCGAAAAAAAAATCGCCATTCAGGGGTTAAGAATCACAACAGTTAGTGAAAATTCAAAGCAACAATTCGCATTTTAACATTTTTTTGCGTAATTTCCTATCCGAAAGTAGCTCGTCCATCTATAGGGCAGTGTCAATCTTTGACTATTTTTTCTCCAGTAAAATCCTTTTCTACTTTTGTAGTCGAGTCTCACAGCTTTCATTTGAGCCCCATTTGACCCTAAGTTTCCGGACATTTTACAAAGATTTTATTATTTAAACTTTGCAGGTCTGAATTTGAATCTCGATACTGAGCTGTTAGAAAACATTATAAAAATCTGAAGAAATTTTAGAAATTTACTTTCGGAGAAAGATTGATGAAATAATTAAAAAGTTGTAATTTTTGAAAATTATGAGCCCTTTCTATAAATAATTTATAAACAATCAATTTTCTACCATAAAAATCATTTGTTCGGAATCGTAACAAATTTATTCATATTCAGAATTTTACGATAAATCGATTTCATGCCTAAAAAAAGGTTTCCGAAAGTTTAAATAATTTTAATTATTCATTTGTAAACAACGAATATTTAAAAAATAATAATTCTGTGCAAAATGAAATTTGAATAACACTGAATATTCATGATTTTTTTCAAATTTTTCTCACGCAATTTGATTGACAAATTTGATGATTGAAAATAGTTGAATCTATAGTGTTGTCTGTACCAAACTGTAAAAGATACTTGGATATCCTTAAGTACCGGATCTACTGTATATCCTCAGCCTCAAGGCTCCGCTTGGGAGTGTCACCATCGGCTGCCACTGGAGTGTTGACGATGGCGGGCTTTCCAGTCTGCACAATCGGAATTGTCTTCTCGCCCTCGACCTTGTGTGGTACGATGATGGCGAGAACGCCGTCCGATGAGAGTGTGCACTGGAGTTGATCCATGTTGCACATCTCCGGGATCTCGTACCTCCTGCAGAACTGTCTGGAGATCCAGCCATGCTCGTCCTTCTTGTCGTCGTGTTTACCCTCGACAATGACAGATCGATCCATGAGCTTCACCGATATCTCCTCGGGTGCGAACTGCTGGACATCCAGGGATACGTGGTAGCTGTTTTTATTTGGCGTTACAGTCGGTACACCCTGGGAAGGACGAGCTGTCCAGTGTCTACGATATCCCAATGGGTCTCTAGAGTATCGAGCAGGGAAGTGATGGACGAGTGATGGTGCCAATGGTAGACGTCGGTGGGCCTGGTGCAAGGCGTCGTGGTGGATACCATCGCCAAAGTATTGATTCTGCAGGCTGTGAGGCTGATCCAAATCCTCCCACCAGTGCGAGTGAACCATCGATGGCAGAGATATTCTCATCTCAATTTTCTTCTTTATATCGAGACGATGACGAAAAAGATAGTTTACCGTAGCACTTGTTACTGAGACTACTCGGTTACGAATGATGCTCCTGGCCACCCGACAACTACAGTTATAACAGCGGCGGCGGCGGCGCTTCAGTCCGTATACAGGGCGACCCAAAACTCGATTTTTTTCTCGGGGAATGAAAGAAGGGGAAATTCGGAATCGAAAGTACCTCCAAGATTTTTGGCGCGGGAGATTAGTTAACGAGTTATTAATTAATGATGTTGAAAAGTCACGGCGGAGGTGGCCAGATTCGGGGGGAACAGCAATTGGGGACAGGAACAGCGTTGCAGGGTCCTCTTTCAAAAAATAAGAAGACTAGGAAACTGTTTGCAAAAGTCTTCCGTAGCGTAACTTTTCATTATGATGTTTCGGTTGAAAAGTTAAAATAGGGGAGGTTGGGGTAAAACGGACGCTTTTGATTTTTTTTAAAATCAGTAGCGAAGCGGTAAACCGGGTTAAGTCGATTTTTACTATTGGCTAGTTTTTGACGAATATCTCGGCATCTAGAAGAGATAGAAAGATTTTTGTCATGACCTTTTTTGTAGAGCCAATAGAGGGTTATAAAAAAAGTCATGAGGAAAATTTTGCTATCTCTCTTAGATTGTGAGATATTCAGCAAAAACTAGCTAATAGTCAAAATCGACTTAACTCGGTTTACCGCTTCACTACTGATATGTTAATAAGGGGTTGAAATGTTGATGAAATTTGATAATTTTGAACAATTTAAAAAAAGTCTAAAGTATCCATTTTACCCCACTCTCCCGAAATGAAAAAAAATTGGAAAATTCATGGGAGAAATTTCTAAGTATGCTGCATCATTGAGAATTCTCGCAGATTTTCTTTAGATCTTAGTTCCAAGAAAAAAAATAATGAAATTTGAATGTTTTTGTAACCCCTCCAGCTATAACCTCCGAGGTTACCTCACTCTCAATTAGGGAAATTTCCATGGCACCCAAAAAAAAATGAACTATTGGGGAATAACTAGTGGGTGATAAATCAAATCTTTCTTGAGAACACGTATAAGTTTCAGATTTTATTCAGATTTCATAAGAAACTTATTTGAACAAATGGTTCGAAAAATTATGAGTTTTGGGGCAATTACGCCCTCGCGCGCAAGCGCCAAACGAGCCGCATTTTAATATTATTTCAATAATTAGAATAACATCCAATAAAAATTATTTGACACCCGTAGGTGATGAGAAAAAAATCAATCAATCTGATAAATAAAATCAATATTCAAAAAATGTTCAAATGCACACTTCAATAGATACTTGAAAATTGGAAAAATTCGCGCTCAGCGATTGAATCAGGGCTCGAGAACGAGAAGACTCCCCTTCTGTTTCACACCCGGGGTCCCACAGGGTCCACGGGCTCCGCTTCGCTCCGCGTCCGTGAATCTCTGCCTACGGCCGTCATGACAAAAAATATTCTTCGTCATACGGCAAAAAAAAATTTTCTGACGAATATGATTGCAGCCCTCGCCTTCGGCTCGTGTTGCAAACCTCATATTCGCCAGAAAAGTTTTTTTCGGCCTAATGACGAAATATACTAAAACCTCTTTATAGGTCGTGGGCTATTGGGTTTCACATTCATCGATGATTTCTAATTATTTCTGAAATCACCTGATTTATTTATGATTTATACTGATTTCCGATGATTTTCAGAAGTCATTAGAAATCACAATCGGGGATGGAAATCGCTTGATTTCCAATCGAGTGGTCCAGTGATTTCCTAAGTGACTAGCTCTCGGTAGCGGACTATTGGAATGAGAATTCTCATACATTGACGATCGATTATATATGTCTAAAAGCGAATAATTGGTGCTAAAAAACTCAAAAACTCAAGTTAATAATAAAAGGCTGAGGAACATTGGAGAAGTTCGCAGAATTTCACTGTATTTTATTCGCCGAGAGATTAAATGCGACTTTTGGGGACATCCTGTATAACGAAAGTCATACGCTGTATTTTCCTGGAAATCCCTTGATACTTCGCAAAGGTTTCATGGGCCTCGATTTTATTTTAGACGCGCAGTTCCATGGACCTGGGTTTTATTGATTTCGAGAGATGATTAGTTATTTTATGTAAGGAGTATTTGCGGAGGCGTTTACGCTGCATTCACTGTTTTTTTCTTCAATTACCTGATGCCTTCCAGCTGGTTTTCGAGGACTCTTGTCAAGCTTTTTTCTTCTTTTAGTTTTATTTTATTTTTTCATATAACGTAAAGATTGTTAAGGGGAGACTACTGCGAGTTTCAAAAGTCGTGGGCTATTGGAGATGTGTACAATAACAATTACGAATTAGTTTTTCGAAATTTGACTCCTATACAGCTAATTTCGTTAATTAAGATTGTCACAATTATCTATTGTGATTGTGACAATCTTGATCTATATAATTTGAGATGTCTGTTTCTCCGGGAATTCATGGAAGGTTCTAGAACATTGAGGTGTTTTCGACTTTTCTAGAACACCCGAAAATTCTCAAAAATCCTGGTATTCAATTTTCTCTTATTCTACCCGGGGGAAACTGAGCCACACGGCCAGTCAATCAGAATTTGAAATTAAATTGCTCAATTCGCACGAAAAAAAAATTCTAGAAAACCCTTCGAATTTTCCAGAAATTCTAAGAATTCCCTTGAATTTTCTAGAAAATTTAAGAGTTCTTTAGAATTCTCTATAAAACGAAAGAATTTTCTCGAATTTTCTGGAAAACTGATAATTTTCTGGAATTTTTCCGAAAACCAGATTATTTCTTCGAATTGTTTAGAAAACTCGGAAATTTCCCGAAAGTTTCTATAAAATCAAAGAATTTTCTTGAACTATCCATAAAACTCGAGAATATTCTGAAAGTTTGTAGAAATCTCAAGAATAAAATTCGAAAATATTCTAGAATTTTCCAGAAAGTTCCAGAAGTTTCTACGGTGCATACAAAACTATATGCACCGTGTTGCGCAGTAATTTGGAATGGGATTGATTTGTTTACGTTGCATCGGTAGTTTTTTTTTCGACCAGCTCCCTCATTATTCGGATGGTTCTGGAATATTCTAGACCTTCCTCAAACCCATTTCCTCAAGGGAAAAACAAACATTCATAAATTGTAAAAAAGACCCTCACTATTTTATAAAATAGTCGATAATTCGCCAAATATATTCATCTCCCCGACTTAATTCAAATTGATAACAGTGGAAAAAGAATTTTCCAGAAAGATTTATAGAAAAATCATTGAAAAAAAATCCTAGGAGATGCCTCACACAGCCCATACCCATGTGAAGGCATCGTATATTTTTTATCAGTGAGTATCGAAAAAAAATCATTGCGAAATAATTTTTCAGTGGAAACAATAGAGATTATTTCGGCTTGAATTTTTGTTTATCGCTGCTGCGTGTTCACTGCCAGGGGGGCACAAATCCGTGTGTTACGTCGTATCTGCTACGACGCAGCAGACAGAGTCTGCGCCGTATGCCCTTTCCATTGTATTTATCCCCTCAATAGAATGTTTTTTAGAAGAAAAATAATTCCAGACTGTTCAAAATCCATGAAAATGTCGTTTAAATCCCCACTGATACATAAAATATCCCTCAAAATCCGTGAGAGTGAAATTTCTAGAAACTTCGCATTCGCAGAGAAAACGTTGAGAAACGTAATTCGAAAGAAAAACAAAAAATCGTAACAACGAATGACATGTAACTCCACAACAACAAATAAAAAATCGATCGCTCAACAGTGATTCATTTTCCACTCAAAAATTATCGTTTATTAGCAAAAAAAAAGAATTAGAATTTGAACGAGTCTTCTCGAAACAACGCGTCTCGCCCGCTGCGACGTAAGGGGGGATGCGAGTGGTATAAAAGCTGGCGGAGCGGCCAAAGCCGTCAGTCCAAAAATAAGTAACACAGAGTGAACTTCAATTTACTAAACAAGTTGAGTATAAATTCTCATGAGATCAAGGATGACTCTCGTACCGAGGCTGTTCTCTCACTGGTGGGAACACTTGGATCGTCCTCATCGGCTGCTGGACCAGAACTTCGGCCTGGCCCTTCGTCCCGAACAGTTCATCAGGGACTTTGACAAGATGACCGACAGGATGCTCCGCGATTTCGACAGGAACTTGGCAGCAACCTATTACAGACCCTGGGCAGACCTGATGAGAGACGACAACGCTGGTTATTCAGTGGTTAAAGATGACAAGGACAAGTTCGCAGTTTCCCTCGATGTCCAGCAGTTCAAACCAGAGGAGGTCAACGTCAAGGTCGTCGACAACTACATCGTGATCGAGGGCAAGCACGAGGAAAAGAAGGACGATCATGGCATGATATCTCGCCACTTCGTCAGGAAGTACCTGGTGCCAGAGCAGTGTGATCCAGACAAGGCCTCCAGTACCTTGTCATCTGATGGGGTCCTCAGCATCACAGTGCCCAGGAAACCGGAGGCCATTGAGCAGAAGAAGGAGAAACCCATCTCCATCGAGCACACGGGGAAACCTGCCGTTGAGAATAAGATAGAGGAGCCTGTCAAAATTGCTGCTGAGCAGTGAGGAGGGTCAACGTGGGTCACTGCAACTTCTGCCATAGAAAATCCCAAAAATCAGTGTGTGGTGTTACGTACATAAGAAAATTTCTACGTTCATTTCATTTTTTTTTATATTTTTCGAAAAAGTAGTTTGATCACCGAGTTACTTCATTTATTCATTCATAAATGTTTGAGAAAGTGTTAATTTTTGTGTAACTTGAGAGGAGTATTAATAAATAAATTTAAAAAAAAGAAGAAAAATGTATAAAAATGAATTTGAGTTTTTTTTCGTGGAATCCCTTAACTTTTTTTTTGTTCTTGAGATGACACTTGTGGTTGGAGGTTCAAGAGGCATTTCGAATGTATCAAGGTTGAGAAGGTTCGGATTTCGAGGGTTGCAGAGTCGTTGGCTACTTTGGAGATGATCGTCCGCGCTGGTTGGTCTGTTTTCATGGTGATGTTGGTGTTCGTTGGTTAAATTTTTCGTTTTGGGTCCACATTGATGATTTAATTTAGCAGTAGGGAGCAATCACACTTGTTTTCAATGAAACCATGGAGCTTTGAACATTGCACTTGTCTTCAATTTTATCATTTGATTGGATTGAAATTATTTTATGGTCAAGGTTAAATTAGCGGTGCTGTAATAGAAGAAGAAATGTCTAATACCCTGAAATTTAACCCTTCATCAACGCACAATCCTTTTTCATATTTTTTTTTCTCATTTTTTTTCACCACTTTTTCATTAATTGATTCAAACAAGTTTGTCAATGGTATTTTTCATATATATATATATATTAAAATAACGAAAAGAACAGAAAGTGGATTTGCATAGTTTAAAGATTTGAAGAATTATATTTTAATATTAGGATTTTCGTAGATGATATTCGGATATTGTTATACGAATAGACCTTTTCATTCTGAGAGTCACTAGATTTGCGGACACTTTTTTCCCATATTAATTCCCCTAGGATTTGCGGACACTACCGAATTTACATATAAATCATGGTTTTTGAGCGCTCAAGTGTATATCATTGTAAAGTTCAATATTAATCAGAATTTTCCATGGTTTTTTCGGAGATTTTTTTGTTGAATGAACGAAATAAATATTTCCCCTAGATTTCCAGAATGAAAAGGTCTATATTTTTTATACAAATTATTTCTATACGATTTCTATAGGTTTGATCCTATACGAACCCCACTGCCACATGTATAGAAACATTTCCTATGGAGTTGCGACATTTCTCTACGTTTATCTCTGGAATGTTTAGACATCTTTCGTATTGAAACAAAAATCTATGTAAAAAATTATGTATAGAAATGATTCGTATAGAAATATCCGAATATCATATGCGGAAATCCTACAGAATTTCTGTACGATTTTTTGATACGTGTGGGTCCTCGATTACTATGTTCACATTGCAATTGTTCATTTACATATATTCTCTCCGTGGAATGAACACATTGTTTTTATCAATTCATTAAAAACCCATTCCAGGGACGCACTGAGAAATTATAAATATAGGGGAGGTTGGGGTAAAACGGACACTTTTGAATTTTTTTAAAATGTTAATGAGGGGTTGAAATGTTGACAAAATTGAATAATTTTTTTTTCTCAATACAAAAAACAATTCTTTCCCTTTATGACGAGCCTAAACTGAGCTCAGTTGATCAATTTGTTTCTGAGTTATGAATAGTTTTAAAAAAGTCCAAAGTGTCCGTTTTATCTCACCCTTCCCTACTGCTAAAAATGAAAACAATAAAGAATAACGTGATTGCTCTGTTTGCATTCGTTATATCATTCCTCGAATGTTTGAGAACTGTCGAGACGTTTCTGGGGTTTGAATCATGCGGCGGTGGGGACCGATCGGGAGCGTTCAAGAAACTTCGACTGGGTTCGGCCGTAACCGCTTCGGCCAGCGGTAAACGACCCCAGTGGAAGCTGCATGAGTGCGTGATATAATAATCACAATACTCAGAGTAGTAGTATGCCCTTGGAAAATCGATGAAGGCCTCCAATCAAACCGGCTAGCAACAGCTGCGGCTGGTCAGGGGTTGGAAAACCTATACTCTATGGACGAATCTCCATAGAAGCTTCTGGAGTATCCTAGAAAAAAATTCTCAGCCACCCAATTGAGTAATAATAATAGTTGAAATTCGTTTTTTCATTCATGCACAGAAATTTGTTGAGCTTCTTAAAATATTGGAATTACTGGAATTAATAATTTCATCCTTGGAAAAATCTTTTCCCTATGTACCGAACTCATTCACAGAAATTTCTAGACTATCCAAGAAAAAATGCGCCATTCCCTCATCATTGGAAATAGTCATTTCACTCTTCAACAAATTTTTTTTTTGCATACGAAACGCTACATTTTTTTTTCAGTATGATAGAAAAAATCGTAATTCTCCGAATGAAATGGAAATAATCATCGAAATTACGTTTTTCATTTATGTACAGGAATTTGTTGAGCTTCTTACAATATTAGAGTTAATAGAATTAATAATTTCATCATTGGAAAAATCTTTTCTCAATGTACGGAACTCCACAGAAATTTTTAGACTATCCTAGAAAAAATCCGCTATTCTCTCATCAGCTTCTCCAATCATTGTAAATAGCCATTTCACTCTTGAAAAAATCTATTCTTTGTGTACGAAGCGCTACATTTTTTTTTCAATATGATAGAAAAAATCGTAATTCTCCGAATGAAATGGAAATAATCATCAAAATTACGTTTTTCATTTATGTACAGGCATTTGTTGAGCTTCTTACAATATTAGAATTCATAAAATTAATAATTTACGGAACTCCACAGAAATTTCTAGACTATCCTAGAAAACATCCGTCATTCCCCCATCAGCTTCTCCAATCATTGGAAATTGTCATTTCTCTCATGATAAAATCTATTCTTTGTATATGAAACGCTATATTTTTTTTTTCAATATGATAGAAAAAATCGTAATTCTCCGAATGAAATGGAAATAATCATCAAAATTACGTTTTTCATTCATGTACAGGAATTTGTTGAGCTTCTTACAATATTAGAATTAATAGAATTAAAAATTTCATCCCTGGAAAAATCTTTTCTCTATGTACCGAACTCATTCACAGAAATTTCTAGACTATCCTCGAACAAATCCGTCATTTCCCCAAAAACATCAAATTAATAATTAAAATTGTTTTTCATTCACGTACAGGAATCTGTTGAGTTTCTTCAACTGTTATAAATCATAACTCCACCTCAAAATTTCAAGAATAATTGATAAATTCCTTGATTTTTTGTCTTATCTAGAAAATTCCAGAACCGAGCACATGCCACCTATACCAAAGATTAATTCCATAACTGCAAAAAGATGAATAAATCCGAACCTCGAGGCAATTACTCTCTACTATTTTCCATTGCGTCGTTCATTTCGATCACGGAAATCTACTTATCACCCCAGAAATTGAATTTTCCTCCCGTAAAATCACCCACTTCCACCTCGAATTCCTCAATTATACCCAAAACCATTTTTCCAACGATAAAAAAAATCTCCCCCAATTTCCCCATAATTCGCGAAATTGTCACCCTAATCCTGCAAAAAAATTTACCACCGAGAATAATCACAGCTGAAAATCGAGAAGGTTCTCGAACATTCGAGAGGCGTCGCGAGTGGCGCTGGATCCCATAAATACCGGCGTAGTAACAAGCGTCCCCACAGTACGAAAACAGAAAGCAAAGCGAACACATCTCTCCGCACGTCTAACGTGTAAACAAAAACAACTCTTCACATCAAGTGAACTTTACTCGTGAAATCAAGTGTGAAAAGTGAATCGTGAGACAAAAATGTCACTTCTACCAATGCTGTTCTCAAACTGGTGGGAAGACTTGGAGCGTCCGCATCGCCTCCATGACCAGCACTTCGGTCGAGTATTAAACGCCGACGATTTCCTCCACGACCCCATCTCCCCCTTGGACTCGAGCCTCCTGATCCTTCGTGCACCTCGCAGACGTCTCCACCACTTCCACCCCTACGAGAAGACCATTGCACGCAAGTCAGGGGGTGCGTCAGTCGTCCAAGCTGACAAGGACAAGTTCCAAGTGAACCTCGACGTGCAGCAGTTCGCCCCGGAGGAGATCAACGTCAAGGTCGTTGGGCGCAACGTCGTCATCGAGGGCAAGCACGAGGAGAAGCAGGACGAGCACGGTTTCATCTCTCGTCAGTTCACCCGCAAGTACCTGGTGCCAGAGCAGTGCGAGATTGACGAGCTCCAGTCGCATCTGTCCTCTGACGGAGTGCTCACCATCACAGCACCCAAGAAGAAGGCCCTTGAGGACAAGAACGAGAGGACCATCCCCATCACCCAGACTGGGCAACCAGCCCTGAAGGACGTCGAGCCCTCGTCATCACAGAGCAAGGAGTCCACCAGCACCCCCAAGTCACCTGTCACCAGGGGACAGGAGAAGGCTGCCAAGACTGTCAAAGCTGCCTAAGGACTCTTCATCATTTCCACTCATCGTTCTTCATTCATTACTTGTCATGTATACTTCGTTTATTCATTTTTATTTGTGTTCTTTCAAGTATTTTCTCAACTTTTTGTGATCAACCTTTGAGAGGCTGTAATATTCTAGAGTTAAATGTACGTTCATCGACTAGTGAACTAGTTTTTTTGTATCAACTGCACATATTGCAGATTTTCCACTTTCATCGGAAATATAAAACCATAATCTCACGTAAAATAAAAATAAAAAAAAATCACTTGTAACAGCGCAAAGATTTTTGTAATAAAATCCAAGATGATAATATAATTTATGTTCATTTCACTCTAATTTTATATTATTCCCCTTCCCGGAATTTCCATTCTTTTGTGAATTCGTAGTATTTTATTCATTACTTAACGAAAAATAAAAAAATAAAAAAAATACGAGGGTTCTGTTACAGCTATTGGAATGAAGAGTTGATATTCATTGTTTAGTACAAAATAAAAAGAGAAGGCAAAAAAATATGAGGGTTCTGTTGCAGTTATTGGAAAGATGACGAATCGTCTAACTCTCCAGTTGAGACAATATTTATGTTTTTTTTAACGTTGAGCACAATAGAGGTTAGGTATCCTCCAGTAATAACACATGACGGAATCGCCAACTTGTGGAGTGAATCATCAGCCATACACTGATATGAAACCAGTGGATCACGAGACTCTCCCCGGAGTCTGATCTCGTCTGTGACACACGTTACAAGTGTCAGAAATGCGGTAACAACAAAGAAGAGCGTCTATTGTTATCCTTGGTTATATTTTTAATTCGAACATTGTTGATGATTTTTAAGTATGACGACGTTAACTAGTGTGTAAACATGAAGGAATGAGGAAAATAAGTGCGTATTCGGCCATTGGGAGTTATTATTGTCACAAAAACGTCATGACAGTTGTCTGAGAGGTTAAGAATAGCTCCCGAATTGTTGTAATAAATCATCTGGGAGTCAGAAAAAAGTGGACACGATGGACGGAAGGACGAATCCTGCGGAAAATGACTACACGGAGATTGTCCAGCGTCTCACGAAAAAACAGAAATTGGCATATGGAGTGGGACACATACTGAATGACATTTGTGCTTCTATGTGGTTCACGTACTTGATTGTTTTCTTTCATTATGTACTTGGATTTGATCCTGTGTTCTCGGGATTGATTTTATTCATTGGACAAATTGCTGATGCATTCGCAACGCCTTTTGTTGGACTGCAGTCCGACAAAGATGATGATTTTTGGCTGTGCAGGTATGGAAGGAGGAAAACGTGGCATTTACTGGGTAATTATTGTTTATGTAATTTATTTCTCTCAAGTAAATTTTGTTGCATACTGGTGAAAATGAAATAGGAGATCTGGGGACAATATTTTGGGATCTAGAATTTTTTATTTAGTCAAGTGAGCATTTTTGAATTTTGACTCATTCTCGAATGAAAAATAAAATACTTTCTATTGAATAAATCAGTATAAATAAATCAAGAAGATTTTATTCTTGAATCAAGAATTTAAATTCTCTAATTGAGAACTTCTGTATTCATAGTGTTTCAGATAACTGCATGTAACTTAAGTTAAATGTAATTACTCCGTGAGCCCTTTGAAGCTAAAAGTTTTGGAGAAAATTTCAGAAAATCGTTTTTGTCTTTCCAGATGTACCAATTTTACTACATCTTTGTCTTTTGTTGTGGTGATTTCAGATAGCATACTCCAATACTAAAACAGCATTTTCTAGACAAAATTGCCTGTGACACTCAATTGACTTCTTTCATTTTTTAACATATTCAATGTTTTGTAAGACGACCTTGCCTACAAAAATTGTAATGTTCTCATTTCAATTATACCATATACATATCAAAATTCACTAAATTGAAAATTTAACATTATGCAATCTGAATTGCACATTGTATGATTCAAATTTTCAAATGTTCAATTTGCTGTGAGTTTTAATACAAAACATCAAATGTGTCGAAAAATGAAGTATATCCAATTCATTGTGCGTAACAGTTCATTCTATCGAGACAACGCTGTGTTGGAATTCCGTTATGATTTCAGATATGATTATAAATTTTTCCATTTGCAGGAACCTTCTGTGTATTGTTCTCCTTCCCATTCATATTCTCAAAGTGCATCAATTGTGAATATGCAGAACATGGAGCCCAGTTGGTCTACTACTCTGCCTTCGTTATTATTTTCCAATTCGGCTGGGCTTCCGTGCAAATATCACATTTGTCATTAATACCGGACTTGACGCCTACCGAGCACGAAAGGACAGAGCTCACTGCTATCAGGTAGAGACTGATGACTTTATAACAGAATTTTTGGGATGGACATTCCTCTGCGACTGGTTTTGATCATGTTTTTTTTGTTTGTTTACAGATACATGTTTTCAGTATTTGCCAATATATTTGTTTACGTCGTTTTTTGGGCGGTGTTACATATCACGAGTGACGATCCAGGAACTCAACAAATAAGCACAAATGACGCTCCAAAGTTTCAAAATATTGCTTTAATTGGGATAACGATTGGATCGATAACTTCGATTATTTTTCATATGTTTGTTACAGAAATTCAGCATTCACCAACAGGTAAAATTGATTGATTCTTCATTTGATTTTATCGTTGGAGTTGACGGGAGACTACTGTGTATTTTGGAAATCGTGGACCATTCGTTTGAAGATTTCCTTGTGTTCTTTATGTTCAAAAGTGAGAAAGAGCACAGAAAATGAAGTTCTTATTTTCAGGGACATTTCACTGATTTTCAGGAATCTATCACCAATTATTCGTAATACTGGACACTGACTAGAATAATCTCAATTGTCAGTGATTATTATCACTAAAATTTGTTGATTGATTCCCAGAAATTAGAGATGAGCTCCTAAAAATCAGTGACATCACTCGGAAAATTAGAGATGAGTCCCTGGAGCTGAGGGACATTACTCTGAAAATTAATACTGATCTCCCTAAAATTAGCGTATTTAACGTATGAAACTGTTCGATTAAATGCTCCGTGATTTCCAAAACTCGAAGTAGTCTCTCTAAGATCACAAAATAATGACAATGGATTCTTACTCAAGGTCCACTGAGAAGGGACTTGAGACCCGCCTCATCCTTCCTGAAAGATCCTAAATTCTACCAGGTGGCATCTGTCTACATGGCCTGCAGACTATTCGTCAATATAGGACAGACTTACATGCCTCTCTACCTCCACGAGAGTTTGTTGATGCCAGCCACTTCCCTGGCTGTGATACCCCTCATCATGTACCTGAGCAGCTTCAAGTGGTCCCTGGTCATTGGAAAACTCAATACGAAATTGGGTCGAAAGTGGGCGTATCTGATTGGCGTGATTCAGGGCTTAGCAGCGTGTGTCTGGATATACTTGGGTCATGGCAAATTTTACACTAATTATGCGATTTATCCAGTGGCACTTCTATTAGGTAATTATAAGTTATCAAACTTATACGAAATTCCAAAGAATGTTAATGAAATAAGGTAAAAATTGCAATTTTTTAAAATTACGAACATTTTCTATAAATAATTTATAAACTATCATTTTTCCACCATAAAACTCATTTATCCGGAATCGTAACCAATTTATTCATATTCAGAATTTTACCAAAAATCGTTTTCTCGCCTAAGTTTTAATTATTTATGTATAAACAACGAATGTTAAAAAAATAATAATTCTCTGCAAAATGTAATTTGAATGATGCTGAATATTCATGATTTTTTCAAATTTGTCTCACGCAATTCAATTGACAAATTTGATGATTGAAAATGGTTGAATCTATAGTGTGGTCTGTACCAAACTGTTAAAGATATTTGGATATTCTTAATTCGACTCGAAGAAACGGATTGATTCGAGCAGAAGAAAAGAATTGATTCAAGCCAATATAATGGATTAATTTAATCCGAACGGATAGGATGATTTAACTCGAAATTATCTTGATTAAAGCTTAACAAACAGATTCAGTCAAGCCGAATGAACAGATTCGAAAACTCGACTTGGATTAAGTCCAGAAATTGTCTTTAATTCAGTTGGACCGGGGAGGAATCAAGTCGATGCGAGATATAATTCACACCGTCGATCGCAGCTTGAAATAAGTCGATTCTCGGCATGATTCAAACCGATTATTCTACTTGATTCAGGAAGTTTTTTCTTTAATAAATCGTGAATCGTAATCTAAATCGATGTTTCGAGGCTTAATCATGGTTTTTATGCTATAAGTCAATATCGAAAGCAATAAAATAAATGAATAATAATGCTTTCATTGCAGGTGGCGGAGGATCTGTGATGTTGGTTACGAGCCTTGGTGTGACAGCCGATCTAATCGGTCCGAATACTGAATCCGGGGCGTTCGTATATGGTGCTATGAGTTTCACCGATAAACTGTGTAATGGGATTGCTGTTATGATTATTCAGTACACGTGAGTAACATTATGGGTGGCGGTCCATATGAAAAGAGCCCACTTTGTCGATATGGTGTCATGTATACTTCGACCTGATTATACACATAGCGTTTTGCGCACTTTAAGCCCAAAAATTGCTTGATAGCGTAAAAAATGACGTAGGTAGGGAAGATTAAAATGAAATAGTATTTTTTTTTTTACAATAAATTGATTTGTATTTTTGTCTTCCCTAAATGACGGGAGGAAAGTGGCTTATTTCATTCCTCGGATTTCTGGTGTTTTCGACGATCCTCGGAATTATGTAACTCACGTTCCTCTCTGTATTTACGGAGAAAAATCGAACTTTTCCGTGCAGTTATGACGAAAAATAGTATGTGCACCTAGGAAGGAAAACAGGACATGAAAACCCGCGTGTTTACCGCCCTCGTTTGAAATGTCCTGTTTTCCTCCTTTGGTGCATAATCTATTAAAGACTACTTGATCGATTGAGCTGAAATCTTACCCGGAAGCGAGTCCAGAAGTGCTCTCAAATGATACCATCTGTGGAACAAAATTTCAGATTTTTACCTTCAACTTTCCTCAAATATGTTATCTATATTTTATATTTTAAATTTTATTTATATTTATATTCATTTATATTTCTTTTCATTTATATTTTTATATGTTATTTTCTTCTCAATTATGGGAGAAAACTTCATATTTTTACTTTCAACTTTACTCTTGTTTCTGTGAAGATTTATGGAAAAATTCTGAAAAATCATACACACATTATCTAAAAACATCATATCTTCACCCTTTAATGACATTGTTCATCAATTAGAAAATGGTCAAAATCAATGATCAATAAGCTTCCATTCAGATGCAAAATCTATTAAAATTGTGTGGTTTTTTGATTTTCTAATTGTATTCCTTCTAGAAAACGTTGTGCAGTCGGATGTCCCAATTACTACCGAGACGTTCTGAGCTTCGTCTGTGGTGGAGCTGCGATTTTCTCGGTCATAATGATATTTAGTATTAAACGAAGCGTCGGAAATAACGAAATCGAAGGTAAATCAATAATTCACACTCAAGCAACTGATTTCTAACAAGTGAACATGATAAAACTCATTGAGGAATTTTGATATAGCTACTCCAGAGTACACTACACTGGTAGCAGAGCCCAGCTTCGAAACTGATGTCGAGATAGCCCCTCCCCACGTAACTTCTGCTAATCCAGAAGTTGACAGTATCTCTCGACAATAACTAAATCGAGTGCAAAGGGGGAACTGAATCTGTACCTAATACAACTTAAAATTGATATTAACTTGTTTCAAAGGAACACTAAAGAGAAATGTAATTTTCTAAAAAAAAATTAATAAAAAATTCAGGAATAAGTCTTGAAAATCAACTAATAAATTGACTCCCTCAGAAATGATTCTAAAATTAATTGAGACTGGAAACTACGTCAAGCAAGACTTACGATAATGTGTTCAACATAAAACTTGGAACGACTGAACTGATCGATTATTATTAATAATCATTTCATTTTCTCTTCCGAAGTGAGTGAATGATTTCGTGAAGAATGTTGATACATCCTCTAAGATTTGAAATATCCCATAGAAGAACCCATTGGAGTAATTGTTCACAGTATGTATTTTATAGAAATTTTCATTCGTGTCCGTCAAACGCCGTTTGATGACAAAAAAAACACTTTATTGATCCTTTATATAAGTCCTCTTCAAACCCAATATGTATATATTATTATTATTATTTATGTTTATATATATATATATATATATATATATATATATATATATATATATATAT